CCTTTTTTTTTTTTTTGTTTTCTTATCATGTTTTGACTGTGGTTTTATAGTTTATTTAGTTCCTCTTTATGTGTTTTTAAGTTCATTGAGTGTTTAAATTTTTTTTCTTATATTTAACTATTTCTGAAGCTTGATATTATTTTAAGTTATGTATAATCTTCAAACAGTTTCTGTGGTATTATTATTTTGCACAAGGTTTGCCCGGAAGACGCAACGGCTCTTATCCCTTGACGTAGAAATTTAAACATATTTTTGTATTTATTTTGTATTAATTTAAGTCGAAATAAGTGATTATATTTAACATTTAAATAATTTATGGTTTTGAAATACAGCACCGGTGTCCAAACACTTCCGAAAAATAATTTTGCTATTATATAGATCTAAGAGATACAGTTATTCATCATTGAAATTTCTTTATTTTACAAAATCAATTACTGATAATGTTTTTTTTTTCGAAAATGAATTTAAAAAAAAAATTTTTTTAACTATCTTTTTTTTTTTTGGAATTTATATTTGATTATTTATATGATTCCGATTATCTAACTGAATTTTTAAGTAACTATTAAACTGTTTTTTTATAATTAAAAAGTTCAAAAATATATTTTTCTTGTAAATAGAGCGTCAGAAAAAAATATATAAAAGGGTCACCGGTGTCCCGTTTGCGTCAAAGAGTTATATGCTGCCTCGTGTACGGATGCAGTTTATAAACACACGTTAGATCTTATTGGGGGAAAAAACTGAAATTCTGAAATTTATTGCCTTTTACTCGCACATCCGATTCCGTTTTTACTGGCACAAGTTTTAACTATTTTATTTTTATAATGTATATTCTTTGGTCCGTATTTTGCAATTAAAAATGTTCTCAGCAGGAAACATAGTTCTCTCTAATTGCTGATATATTTATCTGAAACGCATTATTCTGGAACTAATCAAGAGAGTTCCTTTCAAAGGTTGAATGGTCAGAAAGATGAAACAATTATTTATTTCAATAAGACATGCAGATCTATGCTTATCTGTTATTTCAGTATAGACATCTCCAGTTTTTTTTTATTTTTAGATTTATTAATAATTGTTTACAAATATTGTTTTCAACCTTACATTGCTATTTAAAAGTAAGCATTTTCATTTAAATTCCTATACTATAACTTTAAGTGTGACTCGTATATTTTTTTTAAAAAAAAAGTAAAAACGAAAACAGTAGCAGGAAATTGTTAATGTTTCTTTTTGCACAGTTCAAAACATACTTATACTAAACAAAACATGCAATACTAACTTTTAAATTAAGCNTTGGGTTTACGACTACAAATGTTCAACTCCGTACCCTTGTACTTTTGAACCAAAACCAGAACTCCTGGTTCAAGCATTGGGACGAACTAGCCCTTGTGGAGGACTTTTTGAAGCAATTAACCCGCTCTGCATTACAGTTTAAGGGAAACCACGAAAACCTCACACGGTTGGCCCGATAGCAAGGGGATTCCAACCCATAATTCGTATACCACCGAGGATATTTTATGTCAGTACTGTAGTTGGTTCCGGGAGCAGAATTCGTATCAACCAGCCACCACAATGTTTCGAACCTGGGTTACCTCATTTAGAAGACGAGTGCTCTATCCCCATTACGACCACGATTCTCGTTAAATATAACTGTATTCATATATGGGTCAATGTTGCTTTAATTGGACCGATTTTCTTATTGGTCCAGTTCTCTTATTGGACAACCGCCATTGTTTTCTAATTATTGTCAGCAGGCACTCTCTGTTTTTCATTTTTCACCGTAATTAACCCTTGAATTTCCTATGCAAGTTTTTTACTGTTCTTTTAATTTTTCAATGCAAATAAAATGTGGATATCAAGAGAAGTTGATTGTATTTTCATATTTGCCAATAATATTTAAAACTACGTTTAATCAGCACTTTTTATCTATATTAACAGCAAATGGTTACTTTGGTACGATAGAATTTATGAGCGTATTACATACCGAACTTCAATTATCCATCCTTTGATATTTAGAACAGGCTGGTGATTCAACCCTAGAAACATTATCCAGACTGACATTTTGCGAGTAGACGGAAAAATGACCGTTGTATCTAATTTATTTAAAAACATATCAGGATTAATTAAATCTAAATTAGATTATAATTTAACCAAAATTGCCAAATTTGTTGCTAAAAGCAATTAGCAGAAATAAATAGCCAAATGCTTGCTGCCTTTTTCTTTATAATATACAAGGGTATATTAATGTATCGCATGGTTTTTCTTTACTATAACTAGTATTTTAAATACTTCATCTTTGCTAACCAATGACATTTTTATGGGGTAAATAATGTTAAAATGAATCATATTCATAAACTTTATAAGCTTTTCATTTAAAAGTATCATTATTATATATCAGTAAGTTAAGTGAAATTACAAATATTTGTACACTTTTCATTTATCTTAAAGTTACTAACTACTATTTACAGGCCTTTACCCGTATAAGACATCCAACTTATTTCTCGATTCAAAATAATCAAATTTTAAAATTTATTTTAATTCAATCTATTATGGGTGTTTCACTTTCAAAAAAAAATTTCAAAATATTTTGCTTTCAAATTTATTTCAAAATTTCTTAACCAGAAATGTCATTACCATACATCATGGTAATTTTACAAAAAAATTTTCTCCGTGTAGTCAATATATTTCGTATGCATTTTATTACGGATATTTATACTTTGAATATATACGACTAAACAAAGGACAAGAAATATTTCCAGCGGAAAACCGTTATTCTGTAATACTATTCTAATTTACATAAATTAATATTCGTACTTCATTAACAACTCTTATAAGATTCACACTCATAAATTATCACTAATTAATGTTTCGCTAAAACTTAAAAAGGAAAGTGAAAGAGAGAGAAGAATATAAAATATTTCTTTTTCACCCTTAAATATTTCTTATTATTTATGACGCTTAATGTAGAATTAATGAAGGTGGAGAAAAGTTAAATATAAATGGGTTTTTTTTTCCCTCCTTTTATTTTACGAGATTATTTTATGAAATCTTTAACTTCATTAATTCTGAAAACACTTTTTGATGCTTACATTATTTTGCAAAATTAATTTTTTATATGAATAAATTAATAGACGATATACATAAAATGATATTTTTAATTAATAACAATTGAGGATTTTTTTTCTTTCGGTTACATTTTTATCGAATAATTTCTACAAAAAAAGTAATTTTATGTCTGTAGAAACAGTTGTAATGTATATTTGTAGTCTCAACTTATTTCCTTAAAATAAAAGCATTCAACTGAAGTTTCTTTGTATAGTAATGTAAATTCATCAACAAAATAATATGATCTGATCCATATTATGAGCAAAGTTTTGATTTAAAGGCCTCAAATTTTAAAACCTTCTAAAAAAAAAATAAAATTAAGAGGAAACAAATTAGTAAATAAGAATATTAAGGGTTATAAACTATTTATTATAATGAGTGATTAAGAATTAATAGAAATTCCATTGATAAAATTTGTATGTTTTTAACATAAGTTGCCAACATTTTCCAATAAAATTAGTTTATAGTAAAAAAAATATATCAATATAAAAGCATTAGTGCTTCAATTTCAATTAATTATTATTAATTTAAGATTAATTGAGCAATAATGAATATGTTTCCACAAAAAAGTCGTAAAATACAAAGGATCATTTCAAATTTATAAACAATCAAATTCAATTAAAAACAAATGAAAAACTTGAAAATTTAAAATTTCATCAACGTTATTTGAAAGATCTATGTTTAGATAGGTATAAATATATTTAAGTGGGAGACCATGGGGAAGTGCTCCACCTGCCTATGCGGTAATTAAACCCTAAATATAATAGCAGCAATCCATTCGATTTAATGCATAGTACCATAGATCACAGCATTATTTAAAAATAAAGCTGTATTTTTAAATAGTTATGAATTTTTGAAATCTGTTTTTGAATGGATTGAGGGAAAATCATTATTATGAGAGAAATGAATAACATTACAGGATAAATTCAGAGAAATTTAAATTTCATTTTAAAAAATTGTATTTCAAAATTTGCTTATACTTCAATAGCTATATTCCACAATAACTATTATCTCAATATAATGCGAGTTGATGTAAGAACGCACTGCTTAGTAACGAATAAGTATTGACGAAT